TTTCAGTCAATTTTATGTGTACATTTAATATGCATTATATTGGTATGATAGGTAGTAATTGATTTTGAATTTCACAATATAACTTCAGAAATATTTATATGAGACAAAGAATTCAATTTCATGGACATCAAACATAAAAAATAACGTATGATGGTTTATTTCCATTGTTAATCATTATTCAAATAATGAATCTTTACATGTAGATAGAAACTGTCTTATATTAAATGTATAATATTGTGTGGTCGTCAAGAGCATTGCGTGGGTATAATGATTCTAGGAGCATATATGGTTAGTATTTGTTTTAAACATTTATTTATTTCACCATAGCTTTTTGTATATAATATATTTGATATATTTTTGTATCACTTAAATGTTAGTCACTTATGTTACAGATTGTGATAGTATAAATCAAGGCAATTTTAGAGCCATTTTAAAATACCATGCTGATGGTGATGGCTATTTAAAAAGTATTTTATAGAAAGAAGGCAGAATTAAATTCATTTGTCCCCAAATTCAGAATGAAATAATTTCAGTGTGTGGTGATGTAATTATGAAAAAGATTGTGAATCAAGTCAATGACTCAAAATGTTTTACTGTGTTGGCTGATGAAACCACTGATATATCAGTGGTTGAACAGTTAGCCTTGTGTGTAGATATGTTGACAAAAATAAAAATGTGAATGAAGATTTTTTTTAATTTATTCCTGTTCAAAGTTTGACAGTCAAAAATTTAGCAGATTCTATATTGAATGGAAATTGAAAAAAATTTGACTTACATTTTTTAAAACAATTTATTTTGATATTTTAATTTGGTATAATAGGATTGATGAGTTGTGGGGTTGACTGCAACTATTTATATGGACAAGGTTACGATGGTGCAAGTAATATGGCAGGCCACATGCAAGGCGTTCAAGCCCACGTTAGAGCAATGTATCCTAAAGCATTAAACATAAATTGTGCAGCTCATTCTTTAAACTTGGCTGTCTCAACGGCTAGTAACATTAAACCTATAAGGAATTGTTTGGGAATTGTGGAAAAGTTATACGTTTTTTTCGGTGTCCCGTCAATAGATAGCGGATAATTGGTAGCGCGACAATTGATAGCAGTCAATTTATAGCGCGTAAATAGATCGCGAGCGACTTTCGATAGTATGACAATTTGTAGCGTCTTATAGAATTCAATAATCAAACAATTATTAACCGAAAAAAACCAAATAAAACCGATAAAATATATAATGATTGGAAACTTAATAGATAATACTATCTAAAATAATGTGGCGACGGTTGTCCCACAATACTGTTCCCCAACTACCAACTGTCGCGGGGAAGTCAGTTCGCCTACAGATGCCGTCGCGGTTACACACACACGACCCCTGCTCTCCCCGACGCACGATCCGCCTCGACGCTCGCCGTTTTGTCTAACAATTTGTTTTGTATATTTCTTTTGTAACGTTCGTTTTGTTATTTTTTTCGCCAAAGCGCAAAGCCCTTTTTTATGTCTACCAGTCTATGTTGATTCTTGAGTTAATAAATAAAAAAAAA